ATGCTGGAACAGATGTATGTGAACACAGCTAGTGTGTGTGTGCGTGCGCATACACGCTCATGGGCAGTGTTTACTTACTGAGAGTCTCCACTGTGATGATTTCATCCTTGCACAGACGCTGGCAAGTGTGGTTGTCTGAGAGCTTTCCCGAGTTGAAAAGCCGGCACTCGATGCATTCTCTGCAGGAGGAGGAAGCCGTTTCATGAAAAAAAGAAAAATGCCTACTTTTCAAAAAGTTAAGTTGTACCTTTTGGTGTCGCAGGCGTCCGGACAGGTGGGGCACTTTTCGCACGTGTCTCCGAAGGCGCCGGGCTGCGTGCATTGGCAGCGTCCGCAAACGCAGCCGCCGCGCCCGCTGCACATCTGCCCGTTGTCGGCAATGCACGACGCAGTCTCTGTGGAGCAGTTGCAGTTGTCCCCGATGTAGCCGGCGTGGCACTTGCACTCGCCGCAGTGGCACTCGCCGTGGCCTGACAAGGGGAGTGAAGGTTCAAAGAGGAAGTTAGCATGGCAGAGCCCAATTTATTTCTGAGTCGAACTGACTCAATCTTGTTCGGCAAAGACTAACAATGAGACAGAAATCCTTTAATGTAGCACTCGTGGATAAGCCAAATGACTGAGCCTGACCTTTGCCTCTTTAATGGACAAGCATGTGATCCTAACGATGCTGAACAACTGACCCAAAATAACCTTTGGAGTGACGTGAAAGAAGCTTAGGGTTGGAATCCCAAGTGGGAGATTGAACTTGACAACATGCGACTCTTTCACACGGGGATCTGACAAAATTGCTGCATCATTTATGTGGAGGAGGCGGGTATTTGCTGCTGAGGCCTGAAAGCTCAAAGATGCACGACAGTTTGGTCCACGCTCGACCACGGATGCCAGTATGTCACCCACTAACAAGGCACGTTTTGCAGGGATCCTCACGTTTCTTATCATCTGATCAAGGTCTGACACGCAAATTTGTGCCCATGGTTTAAACAGAAGCTGAGATGCAAATAGCGATATTTGCATTTTTAACTCTTTAACTCCACAAGACGTATTTGTACGTCTTTTTAAAATTAGGCCCCGCCTACTAAGGACGTACTAGTATGTTTAAGTCTTTTTTTTTTGCGTCATAGAGAGGAGGAGGGTCTGATGCAATCTGTGAATGACAATAAGCCGTTTGCATTGGAAATCAAGTAAAAAAGCGATCAGTAGGTGGCAGTGGTGCCTCGCGTGCTTAAAATGCATGCTTTTACAAAAAGCTCTTTTTCTCGTTTTTTTTGCCCAGGAATCGCCATTTTCATGAAACTTAACCATTTTGTCATGCCGATTGCTGAATAATGGAAAAATATATATATTTTTTTCTGTTGAAAGAAGAGAGTCCAGACTTTATTTTGGTAGGCTCCATGTTTATATAGCATTAGAACCAAATATTCTCCAGTGAAAATGGGTGGGATTGAATGAGTTAAGCTACTTTGACACTATCGTGTCCACGGCAGCGCCGTTTTAGGCCACCGCGGACAAAAATGAGGTGTTTCCGAGACAACACAAGGGGACGGAATGAGCAAACGTGACAAACCATAATTGCAGTGGAAGTCTAGTGAAATCTTTTAATTGTCAAAAAGCATCCACAGCACTCAAATTAGAATTCCCGCCCGATTATGAGATGCCGAAAACAGATTTGTGACTCCATGACAGACTTCCCAATCCCTTGTGAAAAGCACACAGAGGTGAGGGAATTCTGGATAGGAAGAAATCAGTTCGACGACAGGCACTTGCACGTACTGTAGCTGTGGTAGTCCCGAGCAAAACTCCAGAGACCTGGATTTGAATTCACTCTGCTTTGAAAGATGTGATTATTACAATTATCCCCTTTAATAGTATTTATTTCAACTTTCTCAATTCCAGCACAATGCCTTCCAGGAAAATTAATGCATCAGAAGCTTAACGGTAGAGTCAGAATCTATTCATATGTAGACTTTCCAGAGAACTCACCAGCGCGGAATCGCATGTTTTTAATGCTGTATATCCCGAGAGTGTGCTCACACAGCTTTTCCGGCTTTGCACATTCAGATCATTCGATGTGTGGTGATGTCAGAGTGACGGGGGACAGTTAACGCGAAGGGCTCCGAGCAGTGAGCCTTGGGTGTTAAGGGCCACTGATATTTCAGCGGAAGTAAGCATTCCACACTTCAAACCGTACCCTTCAACACAGGACAGGGAGGCCAGAAAACGTCTGGATGGAACGTTATCCCCTTGGTAATGCAACGTAAGAAATGCAGGATACATCCACCACTTTAAAGAGACTGCAGTAGGGCACGCTATGGGTCAAAAGTCACTGTTAGACAAGTAACTTTCAACAGATTTAAAAGTTAATCCAAAACCCCGCCTGTAAAAGCAAACTAATGCCCTATTAAGTGTCCTTTCATAAGCACTTCCAATGGAAAGTTTTGAGAGAGTAACTGGGTCACTGGGTGTGACCCTTCATCGAAAGACCATTAATGACAGTCTGGGATTGGAACTGCCCCAACTGCTACATGAACACAGAAGGAAAGAGCCATCCATCCTTCCATTTTCTACTCAGCTTATTCTCACAAGCGTCGCGGCGTGCTGGAGCCCAACGCAGCCATCTTTGGGCAGTCGGCGGGGGACACCCTGAACCGGTTGCCAGCCAGTCGCAAGGCACACATGGACGAACAACCATTCGCGCTCACAATCACACTTAGGGACAATTTAGAATGCTCCGTCAACCCGCCGTGCATGTTTTTGGAATGTGGGAGGAAACCGGAGTACCCGGAGAAAAACCACGCAGGCACGGGGAGTTCCGGCCTTCCACAAAAGGAAGGCCGGAACCGGAATTGAACCCTGAACCTCTGCACTGTGAGGCAGACGTGCTAACCACTGGATCACCGGGTCGCCCAGAAGCAAAGATGATTAAAAAAAATTAAATTAAATAAAAGAACAAGAAACATTCAAGTTTGATCATGAAGGCAGTGGTCAGGGTGGTGCAATGTCACCTGGATGTGTAACAGGAAACTCTTACTTATTATCATGATTATTTTTTTTTTTAATGACACAATTAAGCTTGCTTGGAGTGCAGCCTGCTGCCATGAGTCATTTCGGCAACATAGCTGCCTGGCAATTCAGGACAAAGAAGGTACTTTTCTGCCGACAATGAAGAAAAAAAAAAAAGTGCAGTTGCCTCAACATGAACATGTCTTGTCTTTTGTGTGCCAGGTTGTTCATTCGAGGTACTCCCAAAAACAGAAGGGACAAGTTCCTTGTAAAAAAGCGAAAGTTAGATTCTGCATTTTTGCTCGGAGGCAGGTACTTTCTCGTTCATGGAGAATGACGTGAAGTTGATGGGATTGAACAGATTTGACTGGAGTGTAATTTAAATGTCGAAAAGAAAAAAAAAAATCCTCCATCACTAGCGCTGCAAACAGCTATGAACCCTTTGTCATGTTGGGGCACTGGCACTGGGCAATAATGCTCTAAAACAGAAATGTTTTTGCCAGGCCTGATGCATGTGCACAGTTTCATGAGTTTTCGCGGAGGTTTAGGTGCTCAAAGAGCAGAATTTGTCTTTGCAAACAGCACATCACAATGGCAACAGTGATTGCATAAATTCTCTATGAGGAGTTTGATAAATGAATATGACCTCTACAAAAGGCCACATAACTGTGACAAATTCCAAAGTAAACTCAAAATGGCATTTTGTTTAGGCTCTGGCTGCCAAAGACTGTTTTTTTGTACGTCGTAGGCTGTTACATATGCCTCCCGATATTTGTAAACCTAGATGAAATGTACAACTGAGAATCCTTATTTCAAAATCAATTATTAAGTGCAAAATGTGATGCCCCACCCCCGTTGTACAGTGTTTGGAAAAGTCAATATTTGTTTTTCCCTTTTGTTGTCCCAAGTGTTGAGATGGTACAGCCCAAGTTTGAAGTCCATCGGGCGAGCCGTCTAAGACAAGGGGCAAAACTATGACGTCTGTAAAGGTGCAAAAATGGGCCAAAATTGTATATTTAAATACTCATGGCTCACTTCCTGTACATTTTAGGGTATGGTGGGGTGCTACACATGCCTCCCAATTTTTGTAGGCCTCGGTCAAACGTAGTCTTCCCAGGGCTCTGTTAAACATCTGGAGGGTGCTCTACCGAGCCAGTTTTCTTTACATGTGTCTGGCAATTTTAAAATATCAAAATTTTCACCAGTCCTTAAGTGTGAGTGCAAAGTTTGTTGAATTTCCATTCAACTTTAGGCCTTCCAAAATGTGATGAACTATGGAGAAGAATAATGTCTACAGAAAGAACAGGGACAAAACTCTGGCTATATGCAGCATGCTAATTAGCTCACTAGCTTGTGGTTCATGAAGAATGAGTCATTTTAATCCTTTTTGTGATTGCGGAATGTCTTGTTCCTGTGTGAAAGTGCACAGAAATATCCGACCTTCACTGGGTTCTGTGTTAAAAGGCAAAGGCAGGATATGGTGACATTATGTGTTATTTCAGAGAAAGGGTAAAGGTTGCAATTATGACGCAGATGAGATAAAAGAAAAAAACCTATTCCTCTATCTGCATTTGTCAACAGATTTGAAGCAAAAATCTAACCTTCAAGCTTCCGCTAACAAACAACAGACAGCCATCAAAAGATCACCACTTTGTGCTCGTCGAATGTGATTAGATCATCAAAATGACAAATAATGCTGGAACAAGATGGCCTGTGAAAAAAGCTTTGTTCTGGGATTTATTCCTTGTGCTGTTGGACTTTTGTGCTTAAATTACAATTGAAAGTGGGACCAAATCCATTCAATTAAAGTTGCTCAGATCTGACAGGAGCTGTGACATTTTTTTTACCCCTTTGAACCTTTTCTACTAAACTTTGCAACACAAAAAGCCTCATGCTGCTTTTACCATATAGTATAGACTGCATAGTCACGGTCTTGGCCTGATCAAGGGACAAAAATGGGATCTAAAAGCATTTCCCAGAGTAAAGCGTGCCCAGCACAAGATAAAATGCTGCTTCAGTTTTGCTAATACGCAGCGTTATTTTTCTGCCTGGAGACAAGCTGGATTCTAACACCACATGGTAAGGAGCTTGAGTCAATATTTGGAGATTAAATGAAGAGGAAATGAGCTGATGAGATATTTTTAGCGGGTTGCCTGCCGTGTCGTTAGGTGCAAATGTGCCAAAGTGTAAAATGTATGTCAACTCAAGAATTTAATCCAAATTTGGAGCTAGGAATTTTTACAGGACCCATTGAAAGTTTGGACAGCAGGGAACTAGTCGTCAGCCAAAATGTAAATCCTCCGATCTGACAGAGGTGTCAAATGCAGGTCCAGAAAGTAAACCCCGCCACTTTTTGTCTTTAACCACAAGTGCTTCTACTCAAGAGCTTGTTTACCTCCCAGCTGAGAAGAAGCATCCGTAATGCGATAGTTTCATGAATGCTCTCTGAAAAAAGACTTTGCTCGGAAGTGCTATTTTCGTTTGAGGACCTACAGATACATTTGCACGTTCGTGAAGGTGTGAAAATAATCTCTGACAAGTATGCAGAATTTCGGACAGACTACTTTCTTTGATGGTACAAAATTAAGAACAGAACTTTGCCAAACAACGTCATCTTTATGCATGACAATACACGATCGATTGCTGCTGCTGCTGCTGAAAAAAAAAGAACTCATCATGGGCTGCAATGGGCAATATCAGGATAGAAAAGTATGTGTGGTCCCCATCGTCCCCTGATGATCTCACCCACTGAGAACGTTTGGTGCATCCTTAAGCCAATGGTCTATAAGGCGAGGAGGCACTAGCATAGTCAAGTATGAAAGGACCCATGTGCGAAAAGATGCAGTTGACATGCAGTTCCGAAGGAAGCGATAATGTGTACGATGCTTCGTAAGCTGGCAAAGGTTCAAAGAGAAGAACACATCTCGTACATGTGAAACAGGAGTTGACGTCGTGTTACAGAAAATACAACAAAACACTCATAAGTGCAAACAAGCTAACCGAAAAAAGTTGAGTAACAAACGTACTTTATAAAGCATTCAAAAAGGAATGGCCATCCATGGACAGAGACCAGAAATCAAGGCTAAATAAATCAACACGCAAGTGGTTATCCATGACTAAAGTCTGAATATTGCGTCCCACCCACTGACTGCAACTTTCAAAACGAGAACTGCTGGTTGATCAGTTTCCAAAGTGACGGCTCATTGTGGTTCCATGCGCTTGTGGCTTGTGTCATGTTTGCCTTTCGTTGGACTTCCTCAGACAGATTGTCTTACTGTGAAAGGAAACTGGATCGGCGCGATCTTCTGTGGCGCACATTCGGTCGGCGGCGCGGAGAGAACGACGCCAAGAAGTGAAAACCACGACGCTTAATGACACAGGCTGCTGTGGGCGAGGAGCACGGTTTGCTCACGGGGGGAGGATGGCTGATTTAGCCTTTGAGACTTCAGAGGAGAATATAAAACGCACCCAAGCAGCTACTGCAAGGAGTAGTGGAAAGGAAACAGCCTGTGACCGGTCCCCTCCCACACTTCAAGTGAATCGAGACGACGGAGGACAACCTGCCAACAAAGCGACAGTCAGCGACCGCAGAAACCAATAAAAGATGAAGTGATTCTTCTCTTACCCATCAAACTGCTGATGAGGCTTTCATCACATGTCTCAAAATATTGAATGTTGTGCATAGTTTAGTAGGGGAGTGACCCTGACTAAATGTCATATGGACATTATCTACTATTAAAGAATGATAACTATTTGTTCTCCAAGGCTAAAAGTTGCAACAGTATTCTTCTGTCGTGATAAGAGGGAGACAAGACATTAAGGGTGGAAACTTCTACATTCAATCCTGTCTCCAGAAAAGTTTTCAGTCATTAAATTGGTTGTTTTAAAAATATATGCACACAAAAACTACAAACATGCCATGTTCATGGAGGATGGGAGAGAGTGAATATGAATCAAATTTTGTGAGTTTTTTTTTTTAAACCTTCGTTTTTCACCGTATAATGGATACATCTTCTCAAAAGTCAAACCCCGATCGTGCGTGACATCAAGAGTGAGGTCAGCAAACCTTGTGAGACTTCAGCATTTGAAGAATTAACACCAGGGGTGTGTTTTGTCTTGGATACAATACAATACAATACAATACAATACAATACATGTTGGATGATGCATGAGATGCAAACCACCCTCTTAATACTCCTTGTGACAGCTTGACCCTGGAACACATTAAGCAGCTTGACATAATTTCTTATAGGAACCAAATGAAACTGATTTTGGAAGTTCCACTGTATGCACAGCTCTTTACAGAAAAAGCCACTCCAGTTATCTGCGGTTTAAAATGTGGTTGCAGTACTATTACTGCCTATAAAGTCAAAATTGCGCGAGTCGAGACATGTCATGACTCACGACGCTGCGTTCGGGGTGATGAGAAAATAACTTTTTGGTCTCCTCTGGGTGAAGGAGAACTGAAACTTTCTGAAATAACAAAAGCTTGCAAAACCTAAACGAGCGGCCGGATCACTTCGGGTCGCGATTACAGGGATCAGGAAGTTTGACGGGCGCTATTTTAATGTTGCTGTAAACACCGTCACCATCTTAACAGAGCGCCATCATTACCAAATGCATAGAGAGTGTTAGGCAGCCCCTCGAGTTTGCCGCTTGGGCGACATAACATCAAGACGATGATTAATACATCGTAGAGAAGCAAAGTAAAATGGAGAAATCTAAAGGCGCGGTGAAGGATCGAGTTCAGTGACAACAACCTAGGATAAGAACGAAAGTTCACTAAAAGCGATGTAATATGCATGCTAGGCCAGTAGTTGGCAATGTCATATAATAAACTCGACACACACAAAGAAAGTCGAGGCTCTACCATCAACGCCCTTTTGAATACCCTTTGTCAGCGTCTAAGTGAGGTTGAAATTTGACGGGTTTTTAACCCCTTCAGGGACAGCGGTTACTACAGTGGACAGCTTGTTATCAGGTTGCAGGGTGCATGAAAGGGTTAAATAAAATGACTGACAGCGATTCATAAGCACTGATGCTCTCATGCTGAGGTCCACCATTTTTTTTTTTTAACAGACTTGCCAACACTGATGACACTAAACATATTATTAATTTTTACTGACTTTCTAATGTCTTTTTAACAAAGAAATAATAACATCCATTTTGAAACATGCTTTCAAGACTCAAAAACTCGACGATCCTCCCTCTCCTGACTATTTAACACTGACTGACATCTGCCGGCTACGCAAAGCGTCCGTCAGCACCCTGTGAGTAAAAGTGATAATCATCCATGGCTGCGGGCTGAAGAAATGCCCAAAAATCTCCAACAGACACATCACCTGTTTTGGGACTGTCCACACCTGCATGTTCAACAAACAATTCAGTTCTGGTATTTGGGAGGATCAGATTTCAAGTGAGAGTTATTAGCCCGTTGCGATGAGGTGGGAAAAGGGTGCGCCACTCAGTTTTTTCCCCCATCAGCGTTGCCGGAGGATTTTGTCTGTCACGTTCAAGTCGAGTCACGTCTCAATAAGAAAAAGGAGACAATGAACCAGTTTTACCTCAGGAACTGGATTCAGATTCCTGAATGAACCATGATCCCGAAGCTGACCCGGCAATTCTCAGCCATCGTAGGTTGAATCACAGCCACTCATGGCCCCCCGCTCCCCTTAATATTGACCTGAGATTTTAGGAACAACTTGCCACTGACAGAGCAGTTTGGAGAAGAACAACTGTTGATTGCAAAGACTCACGCGAAAAGGCATCGGAGACAGCAGGACGAAGATCAACAAAAAACACAGAGAAAAACAAAAAAATTAGAACCAACCACATCCAACACCCACACGACACGACACATGTTTGCCACGACTATTTCACCATAGGCTGGGCCTTCCAAGTCACGCCCGCCATCGACCACAGCTGGCAACATCCTAACTCCAGACGAAACAACTGCTCGACACAAAGTTCTCGATAATGGTAATGATAATCAGATTATACCATTTTTTTTCACCGATACTGTGCTCAGAGTCCTTGCGCACTTCAATCATGTGGCAAATTCAATCAAGTGGCAATTAAAATGAAACGCAATGCCACAGTGATGGAAATTGTGTGACTCACCCTGGGTCTGTGGTGGTGATTTTTGAACAAGCGATTTGTTACGTCAACCAAACCGAGCAGTTAAGAAAAAAATAAAAAATAAAAAACATAAGTTCCCATTTACTGACCGTACATTGTACACACACATATAAAACATGACAACATGAAAAGAATGTATTCGGGAGATATAGGAAATATTGTGTAGCTGTTAGTATTTTACTGCACAGTGCTGCAAAATGGGGAACAGCAAGTACAACTTTATGTACAATTACTAGAGAAACATCGATTTCCCCTCCTACAAAAACAATTTATGGATTAATGAAAATAAATGCCTCACTTCAAATAGATCAGTGGTTCTCAACCTGGGTTTGATCGAGCCCCAGGGGTTCGGTGACTCGGCCTCAAGGGTTCGATGGAGCCTTTGCCTTGGAGGTTAAGACACACCTGACTCAACATGTCAATTAGTTATGACACGCCCATGGCAGATGATCACGTGACATCGCTTGTCCAATCAGTGCCGCGGGAAACTTCATTCGCTCAGTCGTCGAGTGACTGTCGTGATAGTACGTCGTGATTTTTTTTTTAGAATTTCTTTAATACATGCTATGTCAAGAAAAAAAAAAAAGCAGTCTGACGAATATTTACAACATGGATTCACATGCATCAAGGAAAGTAATGGGACTCAGCGTCCTATCTGCATGATTTGTCATGACAAGTTGAGCAACTCAAAACTGAAGGAACACTTCTTGAATCATATTTTTATGTTTCACTAATAAAGGGTCCGGTGAGTGTGCAATGAACTAATTGGGTTTGGTACCTCTAGCTAGGTTAAGAACCACTGAAATGGTTCGGTACCTCTAACAAGGTTAAGAACCACTGAAACAGATGGTTTGTTCATTCCCTGCATAGTAAAAAAAAAAATCAATCAATCAATCAATCAACACTAAAGCCCTTCCTCTACTGAGGGGGCGACCAGTGTTTTCTTTTCCGTGGAAACCGGGTTCAAATGGCTCTTTCGGTGTCAAAGGTTGCCGACCGCTGGTCCAGAATATATTTTGAACAGATTCAAAATTTCCTGGCGACAACCAACGATTGCATCAGGGTTCATTCAAGGTCACAAATATTCATTAAATGTCCACCTAATGTTCGCCAGACGGTCACCAACAGGTTTGGTGTGTTTCTTTCTGTCCAGAATATATTTTGAACAGATTCAAAATTTGCTGGCGACAACAAAAGTACAGCCTAACGTCTGGTGACCATTTGGTGAACTTTACGGGCTTGGACGAACCCCGAAGAACCCTGACGAGATCACAACTTCGAAAACACTCCCAATTGTTCAACGCTCAGTGGGGGGACGGGCTTGAGCGGCTGTAATCAGCTCAATGAATGATACTATTGTGTGCCATGGTAAAAGTCTTTGCTCCAAAATCACCACCTGCATAGCAGACGTGACATCTGCCAAGCTGAGGTTTACAGTGGCATTACTTGGGAAAGTGGGATTGAAATGTGATTTTTTTGCAACAAAATATGAGGGGGGGGGGACAATTAGAATAATCATCATTTTTTTAATGCAAAATAATCAAAAAAACAAACCAAAAATAAACATCTCACCTCAATTATGCCTCCTCTTTTCCCCTTGGGAGAAAAAAAAAACACTATGGGTAACTGGCTTGATCACAACTGCTACCAGCATGTGATGGCAACAGAGGACATCACAACACAACACACCCTACAGAGCAGGACTGGCATCTGTAAGGCTGAAGTTTACAGGATGCAGGAGCAAAAGCTGAATGATAATAATAATTAAATAAAAAAAATACAGTCATACCTCGGTTTTCGACCATAATCCGTTCCAGAAGGCTGTTCGAAAACCGATTTGTTCGAAAACCGAAACCACGCTCTTTTAAAAAAAAAATCTTTATTGAACACGTCGGTTCACAATGGAACGCTACACGAGCAAATGTCACTTCCTCGTCTACCCGAGGAAGCATCACTTCCGCGTGTAAAGAAGACGAGAGGATTCAAGTGGCGCATTCAAGTGCGCTCAGATTGGTCGAGAACCGATTTTCGGTCGTAATCCGAGGCATAAAAAACTCGAAATTTTTGGTCGAAAACCGATTTGGTCGAGAACAGAGACGTTCGAAAACCGAGGTTAGACTCTGTGTGTGTGCGTGTATGTGTGTGTGTGTGTGTATATATATATATATAGTATTTTGTGGCCCCCGAGTATCACTAATTAAAAATTGCGGCGCCCTCCAGCATTTAGCTCACCCATCTCTGTACGACATATAATTTTTGCAAAACAATTTTTGTCCCCTTAATAAAAGGATGGTAGACTCTACGCTTGAGTAAATAAACTCCCAGTGTGGAGGAAATATGCTACTTAAAGCATTAGAAATTAATAAAACGTGAATGAAGGATCAACATACAACGCAAGAGTCAAGCGATGGTGATGTTTTCACGAACTTACGGATGAAATGACTCAATGATTATATGACGCCAGCACAGCGCCGAGAGACATAAACACAAAAGGCAGCCGCCCACGTAGGTAGCGAGGATAAGATTACGGGAACATTCAGGCACAGAATGTCATCCAACACTAATACCCAAGTGGACACAAGTCATGAAATGAGGATTATTTCTTCCAACAGGAATGCCTCAAATGTGCACCTGCACTATCACGCTCTAATCAAGCATATCTCATAAACCATAAGCGGTCCTTTGAAACCTCAAGTGCACCTTAGGCTTAAAACATGCACCTTGACACATGGACCTGAACATTTTAAAAGAAATGCTGGCAAGACATGTTGGGACAATATTTTGTCCAGCAAAATTTGGTAGCGTCACAGGATCAACTAATAAATTTTTTAATAGTGCTTTTCTCGATATGCAAATGCTCAAAACAAAATGTCACCCTGGTGAGTAAAGATTATTCCCGTTTCAGTTGCAGAATTGGTTCCCTTCACTTTCTACTCCATGTCAAAGCCGGATTGGTAAACGCTTCACATTAATGATCTTCAAGCTTTAACGAGCGATTTGGAGGGAAAAAAAAGTCACTTTTATCAGTCTGACACTGCAAAAAATAGAGCGATATTTAGGCCGATGGTGAAAGCCAGATTAAAATACACCATGGGAGAACAAGCCAAAGTCTCTTCAACCCTAAAAACAATATTTATTATAAATATTGAAACTTGGGGTTAAACTTTTCCACGAGCGCACTGTCTCATTCACTTGAACGAGAACGGTGTGGCCCGCTTTTATTTGCGCTGCCTTCGCTGCCAACGACGCCTGCCAGACCCCACAACAATTATCGGAGGACATACATGATGAATGTAACTGCATCAGATTTAATTCTGAATGTAAATATTCATATTTTGACAAATTCAAGCAAGTTCGAGCAAGTTTCTACTATTTGGAGCATTGCTTTTTCTGAGAACGTCTTCCATATGACAGTTAAAAATGGGATTGCATGAAATCCTGAACTAAATCGAAAAAAAATCAATGCGTTTCTCGTGAATGGAATTGGGCCCTTATGAATCAACTCGATTTTAGAAATATGAATCGATACCCAGCCCTAATTATTTGCACACTAAAGCCCCTTATTAAATCACACCTGGAGAGTTGCTAGAGGGAGATGGTGTGTGCTGTTTGCTATCGTTAGAACCTCATTAAGGCCCCATGCTGGGCGACCAGTATAAGACTGCAGAAAAAAAGAAAGTGTATTGGACTGTTAACATTTAATGACCGCAACAAACACCAGCGTGCCGTGCCGGGCCTGTTTCCGCATTCTACACCAAACACTTGTTGGGCGTGCACCCAATAGAGTCTGGCATTGTGCAAGCCAGGACTGTCACAAAGCAGCCTCTGTGGCTTGGGGGTGCACCAGTGGCCTCGCCTCTGGTCAGGAGGCCTTACTGCAGAACCCCAGTGTTCTGGGAACGCAATTTGATCAATCCTGGGAGAAGTTTTTTTTTGTTGAAGCTGTCTTTCCACCAAGTATGTTTGCGAGCGGGACTAGACGGATCGGTTCACCCTGATCAAGTCAGCGTTTCTACCGGGTGTGCGGTAGAAGGGTGGGATTAAGTGTACATCACAATACTGCCAAGATATTTTTGCCCAAAACACCAACATTTCATGGTGAGTCTAAGTGGATAATTTGGGACTTAACTGCACTGCTTCATAGAAAAGGGACTGGTTAAACGACTGCTAATTATAAACTATATATCAAAACCAAGTCCGGTGATCCCTCACTTATCGCGGTTAATGGGGACCGAGACCAACCAAAACAAGAAGGGAGAAGTGGTTTGATATACGACTGAATTGAGTTACAGGCCTGGTCACGGAACAAATTTTACTTTGAAGTCAAGGTACAAACTGTACTATATCGACGTTACCTGAGCATAGGATGCCTTTGTGCCGGGCACATGAGAAGTCATCGCACTGACAGAAGCTGCCGTAGATCTTGCCGAACTCAGACTCGTAGCACAGGCATTGGTTGCAGCTGCACTCGCCGCGCCCGCTGCACACCTGCTTGCCTTCGGCCTCTCGGCAGGCGCTCAGGTGTATGCTGCTCGCGTCCCCCTCCTGGCACTCGCAGCGGGCACCAAGGTAGCCCGGCTCGCACTGGCAGCTCCCACATTTGTACGTGCCTGTCAGGACAAACATTTCAAATCCATAATGTTCAAACCGCCGCTGTATATTGCCGCATAATACAAGTCATTTCTGTATGCAATTATTTTTTTCATTTTTGCTTAAAATGCATAACTTCAAATTGCCAGTAGAAGGATTGAAATAAACTGCATGCATCATTTCCATTTAGGAATATTGAAGTGTTCAAAGCAACCACTGCCATGGTTAATTATGAACGATCTCTCTCTCTCTCTCTCCCTATTTTTTTTCCAATGCAAACTTGGTGACTGTATGCTTTTTTACTAAGACAAAAATATGAAGTACGTCACAGTATTTATTTTACGTTATTCTTATACACAATGCAAAATACCACTATACCTGTGTGTGTGTATATATATATATATATATATATATATATTTTACTGCTTTAAAATTGTCATATATTGCTCCAGTACTGCTTCTCGTAAGTTTTTACTATTTTTCACTGACTTAAAAAAAATACAGGTGCACTATTTTTTGGCATTATTTTAGAGGACTGTTAAAAATGGACAAAAGAAGAAAAGAGAGAATGAAGTCTTTCCTCTTGTAATGAATGGCCCAACAACTAGATAACAGTTACCAATGGAGCTGCAGATGGTGCTGTTGATTTGGGCCGCTCGGGTACAGTCGCATTCACACTGGTACTCGACGGCAACTTGCAGGCGGTCTTTAAAGCCCACCGGCTTGATGGTAAAACTGTGGTCGATGCCGTGAAGAGGACAACTCCTCGCCTCCACACTCACGTTAAATGACACCTGGAAGGATAAACAGGAGAGAAAAACATTACCGGGTCGGTAGAAATTAAAAAGGTCCATTGTTTTGGTTACTAATATTTTGACCCTCTCATGTCGTCAGGAAAGGTAACCAAAACACTAGAAAACGCTCTCATGATGCAGTGCTTTCCTTCAACACAGCAAACAACAACCACACCTGGACATTTAAATCTTGTATTTTGGGGTATTTTCTGAAAGGACAATGTTGAAATATAACAAGACGTAGAACAAAATTCAGTCAAATCGTCACCTCTGTAAGAGGAATGCAACTGATAACAAAACACTAACAAAAAACAAAAACTAAAATATTGGCTAAAAATACATCAGACATGCACCCATTAAACACCATTTTCAGATTCCAGCCCGTTCCAGTGAATAATTGAGTACTTCAGCTGCTTGTATGGCCTGTTTTATGATGTCTTACCTATTTGGTTCTTATTTCTGTCATTGTGGTTTTAAAATTGTATGTGTCTCACTGTGCTATTTTAGAAACCTGCCTTGGGACTACGGCGGAAAACTAGCATTTATGCTAAGTCCGGGGCGTTTACACAGTTTATTGTTGTGTTGATTCATGTGCACTGTCCCAATGAAATAAAATAAAATGAATAAATCCGGCTGTATTACTCACAAGTCAAGACCTGATCAATTTCCAGTTGGTGCGAAACACAAAAGTACTGGACACTTGAAAAATGACATTGTTTCGTCATTTACCGTATCTCCACCAAATCATTTTTTTATTCAATCTTCCCCAAAATTTTTTCATATTGAATGTCATTTGCCAATACATAAATGGCTTAATTAATTTTCAATTCAAAATACAAGTACGGTGACCAAAAATTAGTAATGGCTCTCAGTGTAGATAATTATAGAGAGGCATTCTAAGTGTCAATCAACCGTGAGAATGTTTATCTTTTTTAGGTCGAATTTTTGGATTGATATGATTTCACTGTGCAGCTGTATTTAATGAGATGTTCAGTGAATGGATAGGAGCATCAGGACAACACAATTGCAGCCACAGTAGCTATTGTTTCCATATTTGCAAGACAGTTAATGCGCTCCATACTGGCAAACACAGCTGCCATGCTGACGCACACACACACACACACACACACACACACACACACACACACACACACACACACACACACGCACACTGACCTCCACATGACCATGTTGTGTTTACAGTATACCAGTGGGTGCGGCTCAGTCATTGAATCAACAAAGTGCAGCCCTGATAGCTCAGAGAAAGGAAGAAGAGTGACCCAACCCGAAACATGGTGTCCACGTGGGATGGAAGTAGAAAGTCACATCCTGGAAGCTGTTCAAGCTCGCGTCTACACCATATTCTCCCCACTTCCTGTAGGTGGTGTAATGGCCACCAGCACGAGCCACACAGGAAGTGGTTACATCACATGGCGGCGACAGGACATTCCATCCCCCTTGCTGCCTCCGTATCACTAACGAGCTAATGAGCAAGGCACACAATTAAATTTAGTGTAAATGTGAATCGCGCGGAAGGCCCCGGCTTCATGACTGTCATAAGGACAACCGAGGGGGTTGTCAAAAGTTGAGTGAGGGGAAACACGCGGGAAGTAGGAGGAGTAGAGGACACAGGCAAGTGCGCTGCGAGTCATTGAGAAAATACAGTTATGGACCAAAGTATTCGGACAACAATGTGTTTTAAATGGTACAGTAAGTATGGTTCATCCTTGATAGAGAGTGTACCTAAAACAGTTCCCAGAGGAACTTCACGCAAAATTTTCTTCATTTTTTCAAGTATTGCAACACATTCCTCCTACAGAAAGTTAAAAGTGAACAGAATCGCGTAAAAGAACAGTAAGGTTCCACCTTCGCAGAAAATGAATGAATCTTGAACACTCGCCCTGAGGAACATCACTCAAGATTGTATTTGACTGAGAGGACTGCTCACAACCTCTGTTCTAGTTTTTTTTTTTTTGGGGGGGGGGGACTTGTTGCCCCCCACACTAAATTCATCCATGCCTGCCTAAGTAAGTCTTGCTGTGTGCACAGGGAGCAAAAAAGGATGATCCCCAAACATTTGCCACTAATTTGGAGGCACGACAATTGTTTGCAATGTCTTAAGGTTCGGGATTATGGTTCCGGGGTCAAGCCCAACCACCGATTGACTAATTAGAGGAGTGATTAAGATTTGGGTGGCCAGAGTTGTACTTTTACTAATGATTTCAACTTTTTGTGACCCACTGAAGAGTCAACACAGAGACAGGTGTCGCACTTTCCTCCAGCCCATGTTCCATTTCCTGTTCCTTCACATTAGACCTTTCTCTCTTTGGCAGCACTCATATCTTTCTGTGGTGATGGAAAGCCAATGAAAAAGTCTGACCACACTTTTGGGGTGTCACAGCAGGACATAATTTTACGTTATTGTATACTTTCCAATGAACAACAACAAAAAAAAAAAAAACAGAGCATAGTTCCTATACATAGTGGGAAAGTTGCTCGATAACCATTTGGTTATATTGTAACGTAGAGTTCTTTGGTTACCACCGCATTTTTTCCCCTCCTTTGACACCATTGGTACCCTTCTGTGGCAGCAAAGAAAAAGATGCATGATGATGATTAATTTTTACAGGAGATACTGTGTGAGAGACATTGTTGAAGAATATCTGGGTGGAATTGTGAATTGTACGACGGGCGTTAAATTGCAGACAATCACAATGTATCTCACCGAACATCCTGCAGCTTTTATCATCATTCCAATACACAAGTCAATGAAACACACAGCACTCGGTTGCTCTACCAGGCCAGAAATCAGAAAATAAATAAATAAATAAATAGAGCCTCGCCAATAAATAAATAAATAACTAAACAAACAAACAAACAAACAAACAAACAAACAAACAAACATCTCCCAAGTCAATATGTGAAAAATGTTCTGTGGACAAGACGAAACTACCGGTATTAAGTTTCCATCCATCCATCCATCCATTTTACGATCCGCTTATCCTCACAAGGGTCACGGGGGGGGGTGCTGGAGCCTATCCCAGCTGTCTTTGGGCAGTAGGCGGGGGACACCCTGAACCGGTTGACAGCCAATCGCAGGGCACACAGAGACGAACAACCATCCACGCTCACACTCACACCAAGGGACAATTTAGAGTGTTCAATCAGCCTGCCATGCATGTTTTTGGAATGTGGTAGGAAACCGGAGTACCCGGAGAAAACCCATGCAGGCCCGGGGAGAACATGCAAACTCCACACAGGGAGGCCGGAGCTGGAATTGAATCCGGTACCTCTGCACTGTGAGGTCGACGCGCTAACCTATGGACAATCAGGCCGCGGTATTAAGTTTGTCAAAACAATCACGACAATAAGAGCAGCACAAAATGCTGAGAGACCAAAAAATAACTAAAAAATAGTAGGGAATGGAAAGGGAGTGTGGTTGCTTCCAGTCTAAGTGTGAGAAGAACATTTGCTTAGCTACCGATGCCCTGGAAAGAATCCCTTCTTCCTGCCAAGTGTTTTTTTTTTTGTTTGACAGTCGCTTTCCTCCTTCAGCCTACTTTTGTGTGAGGTCATTGACATGCAGCATCCCACTCCACGGCGGGAATGCACAGAGGGAGCGACACCCTCTCTCTCCCCGCTAAGTCTTTGCTCTTAGCCTGCAAACACTTTTCATTCGTCAGCATAAAAGATGTGAACCCCAACTTTTTTTGGGAGCCCCTCCTCCATTCAGTGGAGCCGCCATTCAGTAACAATGTCACCCAAATCCGCCCTCTGAGGCCCCGACCACTATGCGTTGCCATCCCAACAGTCCCAGAAAAATAAAGCCAATAAAAGGAAACGACACAAGGTTTAGAGGGCAGACTTCCAACTTGTACAAAGCCGCTCCCAAACATTTTCAATACACCAAGGTCGCAATATACATTTTAATGCTATGGCTGGCGACAAGGAAAGAAGAAAGAACACCCATTTAATTAGTATGCTTCATCATGGGATACATAAAACAAAGACTTCGGTTCTAGCTAAGGGCTTATTTCATCCGGGCTGGTTACCATGAATAATTCGTGAGAGTAACGGTTATTCAATCATGCAGAATCCCAAGAATTACTTAAAAAAAAAAAAAAAAACAAACAACAATTTCAACACTGTGGATTCTTTGCAGCCACGTTCTTTATTTTTAATGTACGCAAGGCGGCAGTGATGACTAATGCAGAAATGTTTCAGTTGTATTGTTTTGTAATAAGCTGCTGTGTGTGGAGATATGAAAGAGAACGAGGAAATAAACACAAGCAAGAAAAATGCTTGAAATCCTTTTCTTTGACCATTTTTTTTTTACCTATTAAGATTTGTTTGTTGTGCCATGAAGCAACAGTACGTGTTGGCTGCCAAGGCACTTTGCAGCATGGCAGAAATAAATATTCATCAAGTGAGGAGGAGATCATGTGCATGGACTCACCGTGTCTCCTATTTTTAAGTCGGCGCACTTCCAGAGGCCGGGTAGCGGTTCGCCATCCTGGCAAGTGGCGGTGAAGGACAGGCTGAGGTCCTCAGGTTGGTCCCACACTGTCAGCTCCACTTTGGAGCGGATATTCTGTGAGGGCGAAAAAAAAAAAAAAAGATTTGTATGCTCATCTTTTACTACTCTTATAATCGGGAGAACGGAGGAAAACATGGGTAAAGTTTTCGCCTTGTCAGTCACAGTTTTTTATGGACTTGAGAAAACCAAAGTCTCTGCACATGGAAGCAGATTGAGTGTGTGACTGCTTCATGCACATCTGGAACCTTGCAACATATTTCATCCCATTTCCCATAACTGAATGTAAATCAATTGTAAAAGTGTTCCACCGCTAGCTTTGTTGTTTTAATGGCAGAAGTCATGTTAACACAGTAAAACTCCACACGGAAGACCACACAGCTTTCCGGGTGTCATCAGTGCTACAGTTACGACTTAAGCCACTCAGCATTGAAGAGAAATAGAGGCCATAACCTCTGCTTGTATTCTGATGAAGACTGACTCTCAATAGTTGCCCAGACTGTCACAGAAGCCAAGCCACAATTAGTCACTCAAATAAATATAAAGGTGCCTCCCTTTTCCCATCAGGAAAAAAAAAACCAAAAACAAAAACATGTTGGAATTTTAATTTTGTCAGTTCAGAACTACAATCGTTTTTCACATGGACACCATAGTTAACTGCTGAGCGCATTCAAGGGAGTAGCGAAATGTCCGGCCAACGAGGACATAGTCTTCATGTGCCTGTGTGTCCAAGAGTATGAAAATAAGATGGTTGTTAGCTTCGCTAGTTTCAGCTATTCCGAATACCGCTAAGATTTATTCCAGCGGTATCTCAGGATTGGCGACGTTATGCCCAATAATCCACCGACGACAACTGTGTGCTAACAAGAATTTTATGCTTCATACAACAGTTTCCAACTCCCATTTCAATGTTGGACCATGTGGAAGGGTCGTAACAACAGCCACCGACACGACGACACTTGTGTCGCTTGATGACATTGTGTCATAATCTTTGTTGTAGTATGGCAAACGGGCTCCACCCCTACTAAGGAACCAAAAACAAGATAGGCTGACAAGTCATTTGCAAAATATTTAAGTCTGTGCACAAATACAATAAACAGAAATAGTAAAACAGAAGAATGCTTGATTATATATAGATTGACTACGATGGTCTGTCTTATGACACGCTATGTTTTATAAAACAAGGTGAGACTGCCCAGCCGGTCGAAAACAAATATGCGGAGAATGAGAGATTTCACTACATTCAAATAATGGCCTCCCTGCTGACAGATGCTTTGGCCACGATTTGCCTGAGATACCTCAGGTCATTATAACATTGTTAAAACAACAAATCTAATCTTTTGCAATGTTTGCTATCATCATATGCGAGCGTGCCCTCCTCCGTGGTCTCAGTTGACCCTTCACACGCTCGCAGCCCGCAGTAGCTTTGAGTTGCCGACTGCCTCACAGATAAATCAGGCGGTTACACAACAATGTCCTTCAGTCGCATCACTTTTGGCCATCGCAGCGCGAGGGATGCAGTTTGGCAGCTGGAATGTTAATAAGGCCATGAGTCAAAAGCGCCATTTCCTTCAAGCTGCAGTCACACAAACCCCGCCTGTCCCATTCTCCCGCCCAGAGGCCCAAAAACATCATTCGGCTCAGGCGGGGAGTGAATGTAAAACACCCACGCGGCAAAAACACGTAAGGGAAGGTCTGACAAGTTTTGAAAAATGGCAGTTACGTGAAGTTTTTGAGGGCCAGGCAGAAGATTCTGCAGTGCATACACAATTGTCCAAGAGAGCCCAAATATTAGAACCAACTCTCATCCTAATGGAGTGCAGTTCTAAACAGATCTTACTCATAAACACATTGACAAATACATTGTGCCATCGTTTATTTTGCCCATAACATATGTGGTCTTATTTTCTATATCCACTTCACATGATCTCATTCAAACAGGCAAATCCAAAGGTTTGCTACCGTGATGACAATCCCAGCTTTTAAGCAACTGCCTGTGTGTCAGCTGGAGCCTCATAAACAAACTGTGTCTGTGTGCGTACTAGGGGGAAGACTTCAAAGACTTGAATTTGCCTCCTCACCCAAATAGCGTAAGATATTTGTTCTCAACCCCAGTTTCACTTGAGAATATACGACTAACATTGTTTAATATTATTCAACAAATGCATTACAAAGTTAAGGCCTCCCCTCATCGACAAATGAGTAAATAAACATTCCCTGACACTATTTATTTGCCCATTTTCAATGTTTGTTGCGCGTAACTGAGAGCTTATCGCAGCTGACTTGTGCGAAACATGGGATGCACCCAAAACTGGTCGCCAGCCAATTGCAGGGCGCTCATAGACAAACGTTCACATTCACCCCCCCATGGATTCGTTTGTTTTACTTGCATGCATGCATGTTTTGGGAATGCTGGAGGAAGCTGGGGAAAACCCACGCAAGCAGAAGGAGAACATGCAAAAGCCACACAGGAGTTGAGATTGAAGTCCGAGATATCAGAGCGCTAAGCCTGACATGCTAACCGCTAGTCCACCATGCAGCCTGCCACTACAGTGGTACCTCTACTTCGGAACGTCTCTTCATATGAAATTTTCAAGTTACGAAACGTCTCTCAAAAGGAAAATATTGCCTCTTGTTACGAAATAAATTTCAAGATACAAAAGGTAAAAAAGAAATACAGTATGGGAGGCTAGTCGCAGCTCTGAGTTTCCTGAAGGCAACATTAGCTAGCATCTTCCTGGCATACCATTGGCTAAGAGGGATCTCTACCATATCTGTCAATGTATGTAAATAGAGATATACTGTATGTGTCTATGCAGCGTCCTCGTCATTCGCCCCTTGGGCCATGATGTGATTCGATAGTTTTACGTAAATGTGAATCACCCAGAAAAAGTGTTTACCAGTCGGGCGATCGCTCGCTATGCTGATGTTTGCCTGGGACATTTTCGAAGGATTGTTAAAAGCCGACAAAAGCAAATGCCCTTGGATCAATTCTTCACAAAACGCCAGGCAAAACCCACTTCTGAGAGAGAATATGAACTAAAGAGGGTAAAAAAACGATGAGGACGCAGTTAAAAGTTAAATGGCCATTTTAATTCTTTACTCTATTCTTTCTTTTTTACATTATGCACAACTCTCATTGTGCAATAATCTAATTGTAACATGTATTTGTTACATATTTTGATGCATTTTTAAGCTTTAGAAAATATTTAGTATATATATATTTTTTAGACAACACATGAATTAATGAGGTAACAGTTTCCAGAGCCCCAATATTCTAACGAGCAAGTTTAGGCGAGTCTATAACCACTTGCTTCATCTTGCCACATACATCCACAACAAAGTTCTTAGCTCCAGTGCACCAAAGGATCTCTTGTAGGTGGGCTGCAGATGTGTACTTTGCTCCCTCACGTTGTTTAACTATTAGGCTCTATGCATCCCGCAAGGAAAGGTCAACACCGGTTCTGTGTCTCTGTTTTTGTTTCGCTCTTGAGACAGCACTCACTGGTGATAGTATGACCTTAATTTCGTAAGTAGAGGTACCACTGTATTTATTTCATCTTGATTTTGCAACGCCAAAATAGGATGCTGCGAACGTACATTGTAGGCTGCGATGATGAGCTGGATGACGTTCTTTGAGTCCTGGTCAAGGATCTCCACTGTCGTTCCCGGTATGAGTGCTGTGAAATTCTTTTCG